CTCCAAACTAAGCCAACACTTAGTCATGTTCTGCAGGTCAGTTGTTGAGTTTTGACACCTGTTGCTTATTCTAGAGTACTTCAAGCTCCCGAAGCCGAAGTCTCACTTTGCTCCCCCATGGAACACCCAGTACTGCGTCTCCTTGTAGCCAGAGACACCTCATTGCGGGGGCCCCCGGTGTTGTCACAATCACGCATCACAAGTCGCCTGCAGCCGCCCGAAGAGCCAAGAGTCAGATTTCCGGCCAGCTTCATGAAGTCAGAGAGGTAGGCCATGCGCTCCTCCTAGGCTAAGTGGTCTGTGGGAGTTGGGGGCCACAGCTGTTCTGCCTCTGTTTCATCTTGATATATGAAGAGAGTGGACCCCACCACCCTATCAATCCCCCCTGGTTACAAAACAAACTATTTCATGGGTTAAGCCAAGTCCACACACACCCCAAACGGATATAAATGGAAGTACATCACATATGGCAAAGAAACGACAGTAGGCAGTAGTGGGTAATCAGGAAATCATTTTGAATGCTCTGAAGGTCAGGAAGTGTTAGATCTGAAACAGATTCTTTCTCATGTCTGCCCTGTTTCGCTTTTCTTCCTGGAATCCTTATTTCCTTCCTCCTCTCTGACACTCCAGGGTAGTGTTGGTAGCAGTAAGAGTGTGCCCCTAGGAGTTAGACTCTCTTGTTTAAGAACAAGTCTCGGAACAGCCCTGACCTCAGTACCTGCATCTGAACCACGGAAAGAATACAGCCTTTAGCATTCTCTTCAAGGAGTCCTGACACAGTGGTTCAAAGTGCGTTGGCTGCAAACCCAAAATTCGGTGATTTGAGCTCAGCAGCTGCGTTGTGGAGGGGACGTGGCGGTCTGATTCCACACAGACGGCAGCCCGGGCAGCCCTGTGAGGGTCATTCCACTCTGCCTCTGTGCCCAGAAACCACTAGAAGGTCATAGGTGTTTTGTTTTTCTGTTGCTTTGCACCTATAACAAGTGATGCAAAAATCACTCATAATCACGTGAAAATCCTTGACCTAGAAGTGCCTTATGAATCTGAAATGGGCTTATGTTTTATTTTCACATTTGATCTACTTGCTCCCTTAGAGAAAGTAGCAGAACCCTGGCGCTCACAGGGAAACGGGACTCCTAGACTAGGAGGTGGGTGCTCTCTCAGTGTACCTCTCACTGTATTTTCAAAATGTCAGGAGCCAGTTTTAGGTAGTGCTTTGTAGGCAGACTCGTTGGGCAGAAAACCCCAACATCTTCTGATTCTGTCAATGCCCAAAGAAGATGTTTTTGCCTCAAAGATTGTTGACACTTTTACATCTTGTCTGTCGCCTAATAAAGGGACAGAGATCGAGTTCTAAAATGTTGAATTACAGGTAGACTTCGCATTTTGAAATACTCATTTTGGCATTTTTTTTAAGTGTTTGGCTATTTGCTTAATTTTGTTATATTATTTTAGCAGATGAGCGATTGTGTATACATATCGTTTCACTTTTCCTAACAGCTTTGCAAGACACTGTGTTACAGTGTACAGAGTCATCTCGAGCACAGTATACACAAGAACTGGACTAGGATAAGGTACCCATCCCTCAGCCTCAACAATTTGACTTTCCATGGTTCTTGTGTCATCTGTTTCCTTCCACATGTGTCCACCTCCCGGCTTTCGTGTTTGCTAGAGCCTTTGAAAGAACTCTTAAGTATTGTATCATTTTATTATTGCCAATTATAATACTTCCATATTTATCCAACAGATAGGGCTTAAAACAAACAAGCAAAATTTGACAAGTCTATCATCTTAGAAAACAAAACAAAGCCAGAATACCATTGTCTTCCTTCTCTGTAGATCTCATTGCAGATACTTTTTTTAAACAATTTTATTGACATATAATTAACAAATCCTACAATCCAATAATTCAGTCACATCAACAAGAGCTGTACAAGCATCATCACAATCACTTTTAGAACATTTTCTTTGTTCTTATATTCATCATTTTTTTTAATCGTTTTATTAGGGGCTCATACGACTCTTATCACAATCCATACATACATCAGTTGTGTAAGGCACATTTGTACCTTCATTGCCCTCATTGCAGATACTTTTACAAATACTTTAAAGACCATGAGGACCCTCGGTGGCGCTGTCAGGTAAGCATTGTACGCCAGCCCTCAAGCAGGGCGGTTCAAAATCTAGCTTGTGCATGGGAGAAAGATGCTCCCATAACGACTTACAGCCTCAGAAGCCCTGGATTAGGGATATTCTGAGTCAAAATTGACAGCGGGAGATGGGGTTAAAGATAACTTTAAAAAAATGAGAAATTAATAATAGTTCACAGTCTTGATTTTATTGAAGTGAATCTGCTAAAACTGTTATAAATGATGATGGTAGGCCTGTCACTTAGGAGGAAAGAGGATGGGGTGGTTTGTGTCCTTTGAGCAGTGCTTTAATGCAAGCTGAGGGATATTAGCTTGATTTAATAGCATTTGGTCTAGTAGAATGCCGAAATCCTCTACCTTTTTAAAAGGTCTAGTGAAAAAAAATGTGTTGGTTTGCATATTAAAAATGGTTACAATAAAGGATGGAACACAAGTACATTTAACAAATAAATATAAAGAGGAAAATCCAAATTGCCATCCTTTCTGCTATAAATGAATGATTTACTTTTCAGTGAATTTGCTTTTTCTATATCTATACATATCAATACACACTAACGTTGCTGAATAATTATGTATGTTTATTTTGGTCATTCTGTGGAGGAAAAACTTTGACATATTCCATGGCGTTTCATTATAAAAATAATTAGGCAAAATGTCCCTATAGCCATGTTGATGGGATTCCCCCTTTGGTGCTCTTGGGAAGCAGTGGAGCACTTCAGGTTGTTCTGCATTTGGAGGACCCGGCTTGCTGAAACATGGATTGTCGGTGACCTGGCTGAGACGCCCGCGGCACGCACATTAGTGGTGGACAGGTCAGTGGCACGTAGAACCCTGTCATGGTCAAATGGGTCTGATTCTTGGATCTCGTGTCTGTCTGCTCGTCTCTCCAGAGAAAGGGTAGCTGCATGTGGTGCCTGGCATTTTAGGATGTGCAAAGAGCCACCATGTAAAGCTCTCTGAGCAAATTTATTCTCCCCAGAAAGCTCGGCAGCTTAAAGGGTATATTAATTTCAGACTACCAAAGCTTTTAGATGCCACTGTATTTATCTAGAAAAGGAGGAGAGGAAAAGGGAAGAGCATTTTTATTCCAGCTGTGGAGGGAAGATAACTTTATGATCACTGGAGCTGGGGAGGGAATCCTCATAGACAAGACAGATGCATGCGCCTGCATAGCTGAGGAAGAAAAGTAGTCCGGCCATAGGCAACGGGATAAATAGTAAATAGAATGCCACAGCACGGGTGAGAATAATGGGGCAGTTTAAGTGATTACATAGCCATCATCAAAAATACAAAGAATTGAGATACCAAAGGTGAGTCCCTGAAGGTATCCAGCAAGAGGAATAGAGGACATTTTAACACAGTATCGTGGCAAGGAACAAGCATCTTTCAGCAGATGAAGATTAAAGCATCTTTGCTTATCAAATTAGCAACAGCAGTTGAAGCCATTGTTGATGACGGTGTTAACCACAAGGGGGGCTTTTTACTACAATCGGGTAATAACTGAAGGCTAAACAGAATCACGCGTTGCAATTGACCCATATACATTCCCTGTTGAAGAGTGTCAAAGGTTGAGTTGTCTCCCATGTCTCAAGAGCAAGGGTGCATCAACATCTAGGGAACCTTGGTAGCAGAGTGGGTTACAAGTTGGGCTACTAACCACGAGGTCAGCAGTTCAAAACTACCAGCCATACCATGAGGGAAAGGTGAGGCTTCTTACACCACTGAAGATTTACAGTCTCGGAAACCCAGAGGGCAGTTCTGCTTAGTCCTGTAAGGCCACTGTGAGTTGGAATCGACTAGATGGCAGCACTTTTGGAGTTTTCAATACGTTCGTGGGAAAACCCCATTCTCTTTTATTTCCATTTTTCCACGAACTTTTTGAAGTCCTGACATCTGTGTTTTAAAATCCAAACTCTCATTTTAGTGATTATAACCTCACTGGGGAATGGGCGTTCTTTGTTGTGTTAAATAAACAAGATTAGTGTCAGATTTATCTGAAGCCACTCTCTTTTGAAGTATTGCAGGGGTTACACAATTTCATGTCAATTTAATAAATAAGACATGACAAAATAATAATTTATAAATTATCGAGGGTTCGTGGGGGAGGGGTAAGGAGGGGAAAAAATGAGCTGATGCCAAGGGCTCAAGTAGCAAGAAAATGTTTTAAGAACGATGATGGCAACAAATGTACAAATGTGCCTGACACGATGGATGCATGTATGGATTGTGATAACAGCTCGCTTCGGCAGCACATATACAGTTGTATGAGCCCCAAATAAAATGATTTTTAAAAGAAAAGAATATATAATAATCGGGAAAAAAAATAAAGTGTTATGGAATAAAAGAAAAAAGAGTAAGGGTTAGCATCCAGCCTGTCAGTCTGGTCACCAGGTCAATCTGGTGATCCCTCCCTGTCGACGTGACCTTCTCATCAGGATCCTGGGACTTCTTTTCTTCCTCCCTGGAAGGGGACACCACTCTCTCTGCTTCACTTTCTGGTTGACAAGTCATGAGGATCCACACTCAGAGCACTGGAGGGGCATCATGCCAGCGCTGTGTTGCTCCACTGCCACTGGATCCACAAGACTTTTCACTCACCGGCCTGCGATTTTCCACATCCGGCAGCATGGCATAATGCTGCGTGAGTCTGAAGAGGAATTTATGGACTGGTATCGGACATACGGGCTAATACCAGACTTAATGGACTTGCTCTG